CGCTTGAAGCTCGGAAGAGGAGCAGGATTGCAGGAGAAGGATCTGGTAAGCACGTGGGTTTTGGATGCCTCAAACACAAAAGGTTCACAGTGCTTATATGCACCATCAGTACTTTCATCCTGTAAGTAGTGCAAATCCTTATTTATAATTTTATCCAGAAATAAAAACCAAGTTCATTAGTGTATCTTAGCAGTTTGTTTTCAAGCATTTGAGAGTAACGCAGACCCAAGTGCTTTCTTTCTTTCTTTTTTTTTTTTTTTTTTTTTTTTTGACAGGCAGAGTGGACAGTGAGAGAGAGAGACAGAGAGAAAGGTCTTCCTTTGCCGTTGGTTCACCCTCCAATGGCCGCTGTGGCCGGCGCACCGCGCTGATCCGATGGCAGGAGCCAGGTGCTCCTCCTGGTCTCCCATGGGGTGCAGGGCCCAAGCACTTGGGCCATCCTCCACTGCACTCCCGGGCCACAGCAGAGACCTGGCCTGGAAGAGGGGCAACCGGGACAGAATCTGGCGCCCCGACCGGGACTAGAACCCAGTGTGCCGGTGCCGCAAGGCGGAGGATTAGCCTAGTGAGCCGCGGCGCGGGCCCCAAGTGCTTTCTTTGCAACAACAGTTAGGGACTGAGCTTCAGAGATGGAGAAACATTCATTAAAACAACTGACAGACTCTCCTGCCCTAGGACAGAAGAACTGAGACTTAACACTGTATGTATGTAATAAGAGAAGGAAGGAAAAGATGTTCCAATATAACCGATGTCTTCTTTTTTTTTTTTTTTTTTTTTTTTTTTTTGACAGGCAGAGTGGACAGTGAGAGAGAGAGACAGAGAGAAAGGTCTTCCTTTGCCGTTGGTTCACCCTCCAATGGCCGCCGCGGCCAGCGCGCTGCGGCCGGCGCACCGCGCTGATCCGATGGCAGGAGCCAGGAGCCAGGTGCTTTTCCTGGTCTCCCATGGGGTGCAGGGCCCAAGCACCTGGGCCATCCTCCACTGCACTCCCTGGCCACAGCAGAGGGCTGGCCTGGAAGAGGGGCAACCGGGACAGAATCCGGCGCCCCGACCGGGACTAGAACCCGGTGTGCCGGCGCCGCTAGGCGGAGGATTAGCCTAGTGAGCCGCGGCGCCGGCCCCGATGTCTTCTTTTTAAAAACACTCAAAACCAGATCGCCTTAATGTGTGGTTAGATTCTTAGTAACAGGGTATTCTGATGTAAGGAACTACAGAGGGAAAACCAGAGCAAGTTCAGTTTCCCTGTGTTTTCCCATAAATGTTCCTAGTGTTTACTCTGGGTTTCTTTAGTACATTTACTGGGAAATTTTCAACCTTCCCCTTCTTTCATAGTGATAACCATCTTCTGTGTGTAGCACATCCTTTTTTTTTTTTAAGATTTATTTATTTATTTGAAAGGCAGAGTTACAGAGAGGTAGAGGCAGAGAGAGGTCTTCTATCCTCTGGTTCATACCCCACATGGCTGCAATGGCCAGCACTGATCCGATCAGGAGCCAAGAGCTTTCTCCGGATCCCCAATGTGGGTGCAGGGGCCCAAGGACTTGGGCCACCCTCTACTGCCTTCCTAGGCCATAGCAGAGACTGGATCGGAAGTGGAGCAGCCAGGACTCAAACCGGCACCCATATGGGATGCTGGCACTGCAGGTGGTGGCTCTACCTGCTACGACACAGTGCCAGCCCCATGTAGCACATCCTTAAGCATCTTTTGTAAGGCTGGACAAGTAGTGACAGATTCTTTCAATTTCTGCTTGTTATGGAAGGTCTTTATTTCACCTTCATTCATAATGAGAGCTTTGCAGGGTATAGTATTCCAGATTGACAGTTATTTTCTTTAAGTCTTGGAATATATTTCACCGTTCTCTCCTAGCCTGTAGGGTTTCTGATGAGAAGTCGGCTGTGAGTCTAATTGGAGATCCACCGAAAGTAACCTGGTGTTTTCTCCCATGCACATTTTAGAATCCTCTCTTTGTTTTGCTGTGGGGAGTTTGATGACAGTGTGTCATGGTGAGGATCTTTTCTGTCAATCATGAGTTCTATGTGCTTCCTGTACTTTGATGTCTCTTTCTTTTGCCATAAATTAGAGAAGTTTTCTGTAATTATTTCACTAAACAGGCCTTCTATCCCATTCTCTCTTTCCATGCCTTCAGAAACTCCCAAGATCCATATGTTAGGTCATTTGATAACATCCCAAAAATCACCAAAACTGTTTTTTAGTTTTCTAATTTGTTCTTTTTTTCTTTGGTCTGACTGTAAAATTTCCAGAGATTTGTCATCTAACTTGGACATTTCTTCTGCTTCACTGACTGTTGTTAAGGCTCTCCACTGCATTTTTTACTTGATCTATTGAATTCTTCATTTACAATATTTCATTTTGATTTCCTTTTAAAATCTCAATTGCATGGGAAAAATGTTCATTCATGTCATGTATGGATTTCTTTGATTTGTGAATTTTCTTCTGGTTTCTCCTAAGTAATCCTGTGATCAATGTTTTGCATTCTGTTTCCAGTATTTCTTCAATCTCCTCATTTTCACATTCTGGTACTGAGGTGGTGTTGCGTTCCTCTGGAGGCATCATGTCTCCTTATTCTTGTTGCTTGAGGTGCTGCATTTATTTTGGGGCATCTGTGGAGATACTTGATTTATTTCCTCCCTGTGATGCCTCTGTGGCTTAGTGAAGTGTCCTCTCTTTGAGTGAATACCCAGAGGCATGCGCTGGGCGTGGCCAGGGAGCTCTGTTCAGTGCTCCAGGATGAGGGGAGTGTCCAAGGAGGAACCCCAATTGAGTGTGGTAAATCTTTTTAATCAGAAGGAATGAATAATCTGCTCTGTCGGTGTAGTTTCCAAGAAGACCAGTGCCTGATCGCTAGCCCCAGTGGGTATACTGTCCGTTCACACTGCCACAAGAATCACACAAAGGATCCGTGCAGTCCTTGGTGTGAGTGTAGATCCAACAGCAATGGCCCGAGCACGTGGAGCCGCCCACAATGACTAGCCAAGATGCAGCAACTCCCTGCACCTTCCCATGCAGCCATAGTGTTTTGGCAGTCACAGGTACGCAGCCCCCGTCACTTCTCCCGGCCAGACTCGGGCATCTCCTCTCAGCTAGTGGCTGGGTGCGCTGACACAGGCTGGTGCAGCTGTTACCTAGGTCCAAACGTGCCCGCCCTTTCTTGACTAGTTACAGGACGTGGTGCTGGGTGGCCGGGGAGAGAGAAATGTGCACCCCTCCTTTTTTTTTTCCCTCTAGCTTGGGAGGGACACTGTCCCCCACAAGGCTGCAAGCTGGACTCCTGCCAGGCTCCTCCTGCAGCTTTATGGCCAGTGCATGGGCTGCTGCAGTCTGGTCTCGCCTCTCTCCACAGCAGGTGCTGAGACTCTCGGCTGCTGGGGTCCTGAGCTGTGTGGGCCCACACCCTCCACGTAGGTCCACAGTGTCTCCGATTTGCCTGCCATTTGCTCTGCCATTTTCTCCCTAGCTCTTCCCTGAGATTGGACTCTCTCCATGTTTGTTTGTTTATTTTTTTAACCACTTTCCCTTAGACTAGAGAAGTGAGCTCCCTCCCAATTCCACCATCTTAGTGTCTCCCCTTAAGAAATTCTTTTGAGCTACCTTTGTGCACACGCCATGATAAAAATTCAATTCTCTCTTTTTTTTTAAGGATTTATTTATTTATTTGAGGGTCAGAATTACAGAGAGAACGGGAGAGACAGAGAGAGAGATCTTCCATCCGCTGGTGCACTCCCCAAATGGCCACAACAGCCAGGAGCCGGATCTCTGACATGGGTGCAGGGGCCCAAGCACTCGGACCATCTTTTGCTGCTTTTGTAGGCACAGCAGCAGGGAGCTGGATCAGAATTAGAGCAGCTGGGACTTGAACCTGTCTACACCACAGCTTCAGCCCCCAACACTCAATTTTCTGTGGCAGAAGTTGTGAATTCCTTGTTTGGCACTCGGTCACCTTCTGTCCAGTGTTGCTGTACAGCAAGGCTCGCTTCTCTGACTTGCTGTACGTGTGTAGATGCTGGTTTCTCATTTACATTCCTCTGTAACGTTCACGACTATGTCTTCTGCAGTGGTTCTCAAACTCAACTGTGCACCTCGGCCACCTCGGAGTCTCTGATTGAGCAGCTCCAGGGCGAGGGCCACGGTTGCATTTCTAGCTCATTCCAGGTGGTGCTCTTGCTGCAGGCCTGGGGACTACCCTTGAAGAACCACGGTGTACCTCTCTGTGCCCTGCAGTACTTGTCCTGGTCTTTGTCACTCGGACACGCTGTTTTCTGGGAGTCTTTCCTTGGCTGCCATCTTACTGAGACTGCCAGCTCTCAGAAGTGAGTGTGTTGGGATCGTCTGGAAACTACTGGAAGAGTGATTTCTGCTTGGACTCCACAGTATTCATTTCTAGCAGATGTTCATGCAGATGACCCATGGGTAGCAAACCCTGAAGCACTGACAGCATCGATCATGCTCGCCTCAACCCCGTGACGTGTTTTGTGTTTGTCTCTGGTTGTTGTTGTGTTACACTGTCATCTGTCTGTCCGTCTGTAAGGGAAAGGAGTGTGCCTCAGTCATCACAGTACCTTAATGGCCAGCACAGTGCAGCGTCGCAGAGCGGCAGTAGTCTGTAGTCTGCCTGTTAGCCATGGGGCTGCGTCTCCCGAGGCCTCAGACTCCCTTGGACGCAGTGGTGGCAGGAATGCTTGCTTGCTGTGGGAACCGGCTGTAAGGTATGTGTGGTGTTCAGTGTAGGAATGGACATAGAGAATGTGTACAGGAAGTGGGACCGTCACAGTGCTGTGGTTGTCATTGTGTCATGGAAGAAGCAAAATCAACAGGTGAACCAAGGGAAATGACCTTGTGGTTTTATCATTCAGATTCAGGATATGTGCTGAGCACTTCTTTAAAAAAAAATCTCGCTTTGCCTCAGTTGACTATTTCATATTTTGGTATTTAAATAAATATTAGCAAGAAAAGCCATGCGTGTGTGTTTTCTCTCCCACAGGAAAACAAGGGAAGCGCCTGGAGCCCATGGACACCATATTTGTCAAGCAGGTTAAAGAAGGCGGGCCTGCGTTTGAGGCTGGGCTGTGCACAGGTGCTGGTTCCTCTTCAAACCTGACCGCTTGCACGCTGTGTCTGCCATGTGTTCCCTTTTTCTGGCTTCTGTTGTGTCCCCCTCTTCCCCCTCTTCCTTCACATCTGTTGTTATAACCGTCCTGGGGAGCACCCTGGCTAGGATTTGTTAGGATGCACTGTTGATGCATTCCCTACCATAGTTACCCTTTCATGTAATTAGCCACGTGTTTCTCTGTGCCCAAGTGGGTGAGTTTGAACAGAAACAACAGTATAGACTGATAAACTGTCGACACTTCTGGCTGCCACACAGATACTGGGCTCTTAGTAGCTCTTCTAAAGAGCCTATTTTGTGTGTGTTGAATTTTGACACAGGATTACAAAATAGCAAAATGATGAAGGTATTTATTTGGCATAATTGAGATAATCTTCTTGGATCTCCAAGTTCTGCAAATGCCTGATTTGCCAAAGGTGAACTAACTGGCATCAAAAACAGCCTAAATCACTTATGCAATGCAAGCCCAGTGCCCAGTTTCATCAGGGTGTGGCCTAATCTGCAGGACATAGTAGCTGTTTGTTCTAAAATACTTGGTGACTTGTGACTTTAATAAAAAGAAAAGATTTCACTTAGTGTATACTGTACAATACTCTGTTTCTAAACCTGAAACACTTTAGGAAAATGAAAAATGATTCTCTACCGTCATTTGGATTAACTGTATTATCAGCTGCAAAATAAAAGTAAATAATGGCATTGTTAAGAGTAATTAGGATGCATTGCCGGTGTGGTCCCTACCTTAGCTACCACGCTCATCCCACTGGAGACGAGCCTCATTTCAGTATCACTGGGTGTGACAGGAACATTAGTGTCCGCATGGGATTCCATTACACAGAAGGCACCATTGGCAGTGATGTGGAGAGACTGTAACAGGCACCCACAAAACACTTGCTGCTCTCCCCTGGCCTGTGTCTCTGCCTTTTCCTTTCTACCCCTGTTGAGTTCTTCTGTAACTCACTGTCCTTTTTTTCCTGTCAAAATGAAGAACTACTTAAAGTTAACTTAAAAAGTCAAAAGCATGTATATCCCCATATTTAAGTTTTATATTGCAGTCTCATCAATAAACCAAATAGGTAGATTGGGAGAATACCACAGGAGAGTGAACTTGGGCTAAAGTTAGAGGATGCCGGACAAATGAAACTAATCCCTGTGTTAAGCCTGGGGAAAACGTTCTGTCTCAGAGAACAGCTGATGGGACCTGAACAGTACAGCCGAGGCCACTGGCGACTGCTCCTTTGCGAGTCTCTAAGTTTGTCCCTATCTAGAGCTCCTCTTTGGAACATGGAGATGTTTTATAAGAATCTGGATACATTAACATATGGATTTGTTTTTGTAAATGGTACACTAAAATGCTGAATCAGCATACATTAAAAATAAGACCATTTCTCGAGAAGCATCTGAAAAGATAGAAAAGTAGCTTACTTTAGGACTTCGTCATGTGTTGTTTTGCTCCTCTTTGAAGGTGACCGAATCATCAAAGTCAACGGAGAAAGTGTCATTGGAAAGACCTATTCCCAAGTAATTGCTTTAATTCAGAACAGGTAAGCGTCTTGGAATATGATGAATTTTGGCCAGAGGTGGGTCTTCTGAATCCGTGGCGCACGTAGCTTTGATGCAATCTTGGATTCCCGCAAGGCGCCGGAGCGAGTGGCAGCGTGGAGCCTGCCCTTGCACCGGGAGTGCGTTGCAGAGCTGCTAAGGACCAGCTTCCAGTAAGGGCGGTTGCTCTGGCAAATCTGTCAGATCCGGGGTAAGAGCCTTTAGTTTCAAAGGCACACGCTTAGATTTACTCTAAGTTGCCCACTTTGATTTGAGCTGACAGATGTGTACAATAAATGCTTAATAGTTTATTTTAAAATATCTCAATAAGATACATTAGTTATAAGCATCTAATTGAATAATGTTGGCTTAAGTTTATTTGTTTAAACCAAATAATAAAATGTTACCTTTTAGTCCATTCCTCTAACTGCATTCTAAAGAATGATACAAGTTTGAGTTCTGAAAGTAAATACATATTTATAGAGTAAACTGTGCGACTTTGAAGATAATTTGGTTTTACTCTCTTTCACCCACACACCTAGAAATGTTTTTAATTACAAATAGAGGGGTGAAAGCAAAGAGGTGATCATATTAGATTTGTCTAGTTTCCTTTGTTGCAGGGCGTTCATCCCAGATTCAGATACCTTAACTTTGGGATTATCTAACGGTGTCTGTTAGCCACACTCATCTGTGTACAATTGAATTTTTTTTCTTAGAAGATTTATTTGCCTATTTGAAAGTCAGAGTTGGCCGGCGCCGCGGCTCACTAGGCTAATCCTCCGCCTGAAGTGCCAGCACCCCGGGTTCTAGTCCCGGTTGGGGTGCTGGATTCTGTCCCAGTTGCCCCTCTTCCAGGCCAGCTCTCTGCTGTGGCCAGGGAGTGCAGCGGAGGTTAGCCCAAGTGCTTGGGTCCTGCACCCCATGGGAGACCAGGAAGAAGCACCTGGCTCCTGGTTTCGGATCTGCACAACGCGCCGGCTGTAGTGGCCACTTTGGGGGTGAACCAACGGAAAAGGAGGACCCTTCTCTCTGTCTCTCTCTCTCTCACTGTCTAACTCTGCCTGTCCTATAAAGAAAATTAAAAAAAAAAAAAAAAAAAAAAAGAGTTACAGAGAGAGCGGGAGAGACACAGAGGGAAAGAGATCTTCTATTCGCTGCTTTGCTCCCTAGATGGCAGTGGCCAGGACTGGTCCACGCTGCAGCTGGGAGCCAGGAGCTTCTTCCTGGTCTTCTACATGGGTTTAGGAGCCCAGGCACTTGCTCCATCTTCTCCTGCTTCTGCCAGGCCATTAGCAGGGAGCTGGAGCAGAAGGCAGGCAGCCGGGACACAAACTGGCACCTGTATGGGATGCCGGCAACAAGGCGGCTGCGTAAGAACACCGGCCCCATATTTTCTGAAGATTTTGTGTCTAAAGCAGTGCATGCTATAATCTGTTTACATGAATACCCTAATATGCTGTTGTGTCTTTAACAAGTGATATGATTAATTGATCTTAGTGTATTTTTTAAATTTTAAAATTTAGTGGGATTCTTAGAGAAACAACTCTTAAATTTTGCCTTTAATGTTTATGATGAATATAAAACCCCTTTTATTTTATTTTCCTCAGAAGAATTTAGGTCATTATAATTAACCAAATGTGTTTTGTTGGCCAATAATTTAAGGATTTTTAGGGTATTGATTAACATCTCTAAACTTTTTTTCTCTGTAAACCAACTTAATGTTGTCTTTGTCAAAGTCCATATTAATTCTTCTATTATCGGTATAGATCTTTCAGAATAATAATACTTTGGAATGTCAGTCAATTTTTCAGCCAGTAAAAGCAGTTTGAAAATTAAAGAACTACTTTTCTTCATGATCTTATTTTCTCTTTAAAAATTATGTTCATTTTGTCTGCAGTTGGTAGGAACTAGATAATGCAAGGCCAACCCATTAAGATTCTGCAGTGTGTTGATGTAAAATGTTTCCTTGGGGAAGGATTTTTTGTCTAGCCATCAGTGTGTATTTTCTATCAACTCTAAATACTGAAATACAGGTACCTATGTTTCAGTAGTTAAAATCATCTGAACCTATGGTTCTCATTGTCTTACCAGTTATGAACCTCAAAATAATGATTCGAATCTGTCAGATGTACCAGTAAATTGTTAGACTTTTGGGTTTTGGTTGTTGATTTGACTCTTTCTTTATTTCTGATTATATTGGAGTGACTGCTTGTCTGAAGCCCTTGATAGAGATTACACCACTGTGCCAGCTACCTCTGAGTCTAATTCCGGGTCACAAGGCTCAGTGGAATTTGCCTGTTTGAATGTTTTAGACCTAGAAAAACTTGTCTGTCTGACTAGCAGGAGGTGTTGGAGCCATTGCTGTAAAGGTTCACGGTTGGCTCAGTGAAGCCAGTAGTTGAGATGGTAATAGCTTTAAAAAAAAAAAAAAAACTTATTTATTTAAAAAGGTTACAGAGAGAGATAGAGACAGACAGAGAGGTCTTCCATCCACTGGTTTATTCCCCAGATGGCCACAACAGCCGGAGCTGTGCCAATCCGAAGCCAGGAGCCAGGAGTTTCCTCCAGGTCTCCCATGCGGGTGCAGGGGCCCAAGGACTTGGGCCATCCTCCACTGCTTTCCCAGGCCATAGCAGAGAGCTGGATGGGAAGAGGAGCAGCCAGGACTAGAACCGGCAGCCACATGGGATGCTGGCGCTTCAGGCCAGGGCATTAACCCGCTGCGCCACAGCGCCGGTCCCAGTAATAGCTTTAAATGTGAGTCCTTTCAGCAGTCGTGATGGGGAACTGATTCCCTTCCCCTCTGGGGCCAGAAGGGAACGCTTCAAACTTGGGATGTTTAATAGTGCTTAAAATGTTACATTTAAGGGTTCTTTGTTGTTTTATGTTGATGACTTTTAAGCTTGATAACCAGAATATGTGCTAAAAAGCTATAATTTTTTGTGATGAATAAAGAGTAAATATATACTGACATTGACATGAGTTTTGTTCCAGGACTATTTAACATACTTTATACTTCTGAAGTAGAAGACATGACTGATTATGAATAGCACATCATGGCACAGTGCCCTCTTGTGTGTGTAATTACTCATGTATGTAAGAGTGGCTTCATTCTACTGATGTGGTTTTAAAGGGTGAAAGTGTAAGAAAACCAAGATTAAACACTTAAGCAATTAGAAAGTATTTCCGAGTTAACTGGTTTTCCTTGTATGCCTCTACTTCTGCTAAAATCTAAGTATATATATTTCAATTTCAGTGACACAGCATTGGAACTTAGTGTTATGCCAAAAGATGAAGACATTCTCCAAGTGGTAAGTTTCATTTATTCAAATATGAAATGTTTTATAGCCATGAATGTTAAGACAATATTTTTTGAGATAGAGGTAGTTTGAGTTTAAAACAATGATTTTAGGAAAAACACTCTGTGGATCATTTAGCAGAATCTGGAATTCTCTACCTTTGACAGAGCCAAGCAAGACCGGTGTCTTTTCTGGCATGAAGAGACGTGGATGTGTGATGGGCTCTGCAGTAAACTCTCGACATTGTGGTCAGGCTGGGGTTCCTGGAGTCTCACCCAGCTTTGCCTTCTCCGTAGTCTTTGACCAAAACCCCACAGCACAGACTGCAAGTGCATTGCCCCAGGAACTAGAATCTTTTTTTGTTTCAACATGAGGACAGACATTTTCTGAAAGCCATTTCCTCATTTCCCAACAAAAATTACGTCCGTAAATGAACTAGCTGAGCACTTTTGTGAACAGTGTGAGTTCGCTCAGTGGAAGTGACGCTCACCTCGGGTGGGGTCCACAACCTACGGGAAGGTCTGTGCAAGTCTTTCTGAGGAAGCCCCGCCTTTCTTGTCAGATACTTGTCTGTCTTGTTATTTTAGAAGGGAACAAACGGAATGGGATAGTTAACTCCTTTGTGAATTTTAAGTAATGCTGAAAGTTACAAGACCATTAAAATGTTTCATTCCAGAACACTAGACTTTTCTTTGGCTCAGGAATATAACGTTGTGAGCAAAACCCTTTGAGTAACTGTGATTGCTTAAGTCAGGTGGGGAGGTGGCAGTGACTACTGAAGTGTGGCCTAAGTCATTTTTGTGAACAGTTTGTTTTTTCCTTATAACTTATAGCTAAATTCAAGAAAAACAGCTAATGGAATCTCTGTGGCGGGAATGGAAATGGTATAGGAATGTTTTTTATTTATAATGGTTAATTTGAATTTAGCTCAACATAGATCCTAAATAATCTGAAAACACTAAAGTCCATCGTCATGATTCGTCCTGTTCACTGACATGTGAAGTGTAATGAACTGAAGTCATGGAGGCCACCCAGTGTTTCCAAGGCGTGTAGATTTTATTTAGGAGTGGCTTATTAGTGATAACAGAGTCCCCTTTTAAAAAAAAAAAGATTTTATTTATTTATTTGAAAGGTAGAGTTACAGACAGTGAGAGGAAGAGACAGAGAGAAAGGTCTTCCTTCCATTGGTTCACTCCCCAACTAGCTACCGATTCGGAGCCAGGAGCCAGGCACCTCCTCCCGGTCTCCCACGCGGGTGCAGGGGCTCAAGCACCTGGGCCAACTTCTACTGCTTTCCCAGGCCACAGCAGAGAGCTGGATCGGAAGAGGAGCCTCTGAGACTAGAACCGGCACCCATATGGGATGCCGGTGCCACAGGTGGAGGATTAACCTACCGCGCCATGGCGCCAGCCCCCAGTCCCCTTCTTAAGCATATGGTTCTGTTGGTGTTTGGAGGCTCAACAAGGAAGGTGACAGCTCTCTGCAGTAATTTACCTTGGTGTATAGTGGCAACTGTGGAGACCTGTGCTCTTCATTCCGCACATAGAGAAGCAGACGTAACCATTGAAACCAATGGCTTGTGAGAGTCACTAAACACAAATACATAGAGGATTCTGCTTTAATGCTTTTTTTTGGGGCGGGGGGAGGTTGGAGAAGCCAAGCTCTTGCGCCATCACCTGCTGCCTCCCGGAGTGTACATTAGCAGGGAGCCAGAATTGGGCACAGAGCCAAGACTCAAACTCAGGCACTGTTAAGGGACCTGGCAAATGTTCCAAGCAGTGTCTTCACTGCCGTGCCACACACCCGGCCACCCAGTGCTCTTCTTACACAGTTTAAGAAGATGATCCCCTAACGGTCGCGCAGGCTTCACTCTGATTCCTTCTGGAGTCTGAAGACATGAAGACAGAATCAGCTTCCCCAGCCAGGCTGTTGGCTGATCATCGGCAGACTCCATCCTCGCCAAGATGGAGGCATTGGTTGGATCCCATTTAGAACAGTTCCGGTCCCAGAATGGCTGGCCTTGTACTGAATCTGGGGGGAAGGAATTCAACGCAGCATTTTCTGTAACCTGTTGTGTGGTTAATGAGGAGCAGCAAACCACTTAATGAAAGGAAAGGAACACTTTTCTGATGATACGGTCGATAGACGATGAAGTTGATTCATCTGTGCTGCGAGATTTTATTTTAGACGAGTAAGTTTAAAAGTAAAATACAGGCCGGCGCCACGGCTCACTAGGCTAATCCTCCGCCTAGCGGCGCCGGCACACCGGGTTCTAGTCCCGGTCGGGGCGCCGGATTCTGTCCCGGTTGCCCCTCTTCCAGGCCAGCTCTCTGCTGTGGCCAGGGAGTGCAGTGGAGGATGGCCCAAGTACTTGGGCCCTGCACCCCATGGGAGACCAGGAGAAGCACCTGGCTCCTGCCATCGGATCAGCGCGGTGCGCCGGCCGCAGCGCGCCAGCCACGGCGGCCATTGGAGGGTGAACCAACGGCAAAGGAAGACCTTTCTCTGTCTCTCTCTCTCACTGTCCACTCTGCCTGTCAGAAAAAAAAAAAAAAAAAAAAAAAAAAAAAAGTAAAATACAGACTGTTGCAAACGTGGAGACCTTGGTTCAGTGGAGGCCATGAGCATACAGATCTCAGGGCTTGTTAGTGAACGGCTCTGCCGCTCTGCTGTGTGACCACATAAAATTCATCTTTAGTGTGTGTGTTTGAACGAGAAAAGACTCTAGTTTTTTGTTTTGTTTTGTTTTTTGTTTTTAAGGTTTATTTACTTGAAAGTCAGAGTTAACCCAGAGAGAGAGGTCTTCCATCAGCTGGTTCACTCCCCAACTGGCCACAATGGCCGGAGCTGCACCGATCGAAAGCTTCCTCCAGGCCTCCCACACGGGTGCAGGGGCCCAAGGACCTGGGCCATCTTCCACTGCTTTCCCAGGCCATAGTAGAGAGCTGGATCGGAAGTGGAGCAGCTGGGACTTGAACAAGCACCCATATGGGATGTGGGTGTTACAGATGGCACTTTACCCATTAAGCCTCAGCGCTGGCCCCAAGACTGTAGTTTTAAACCTAGCCTTGGTTCACATTTGAGTGTATTGCAATAAATTAGGCAGTCAAAGAGTGTATATGTGTACAATTACTATGTAATATGCACTGTTCTGTGAAAGGCATTAGGGTATGGCAACTTCTTTTCTACATAAATGGCTTTTCTGTGGACTATCAGCTAGGTTAGCTAGGTTCATTCTTTTTTTTTTTTTTTTTTTTTTTTGACAGGCAGAGTGGACAGTGAGAGAGAGAGAGACAGAGAGAAAGGTCTTCCTTTGCCGTTGGTTCACCCTCCAGTGGCTGCTGCGGCCAGTGCACTGCGCTGATCCAATCGCAGGAGCCAAGTACTTATCCTGGTCTCCCATGGGGTGCAGGGCCCAAGCACCTGGGCCATCCTCCACTGCACTCCCTGGCCACAGCAGAGAGCTGGCCTGGAAGAGGGGCAACCGGGACAGAATCCGGCGCCCCGACCGGGACTAGAACCCGGTGTGCTGGCGCTGCAAGGCGGAGGATTAGCCTAGTGAGCCACGGCGCTGGCCGAGCCAGGGTCATTCTTAAAGCTCTTATAAAACACAAAGAATGTGAAATTTTTAAAAGGCCATATCTTGGCCCAGATCCCAGACTCGCATGTTCTGTGAAGAGCCCTGCCTCTGTGGTGCGGTTGGTTGGCGTGATCGGCCATGACCTGGAGGGAGCCCTCGGAGGACTTGTGCCCTTGTGAAAACTGTCACTCAGATACGTTTTTTGTCATTGTAAGACAGGACAGTCATTGTAAAAAAACACATAGCATGAACGTTTTTACAGTCACTTGAAAATCACTTGTCCATGGGGAAGTGTCCTTCGGTCTGTGTGTGCCTGAGTGGCCACAGGGTTGGATGGTCCACGGGGTTTTTGTTCCCAGAACTGACTTGACCAAATTACCCCAGAAATGCTCAGCTCGCCTTTGATACATAGCACAGAAAATTGAATTTAGTTTAAACCTTGACTCGGGTAAGGACTGATATTTAATGATAGATTTCTGATTTATGGGTGGCACAGATATGATGTGGGAGAAGCAAGAAGTGAAATTAGGATAATTCATTATGTTCTTAAAAGAGTTCTGATAATAATACTCCTGTACTTGGCAGCCTCATGTTTTAAACCAACACATCTATTCTGTATAAACAGTGTGAGTAGTATTACGCTCATTTTAGTCATTTTGACAGTGTATTTAGTATTTAGACAGGTTTATATTATTCAGATACCATTACAAAATCAAAAGCATTTTTTGTTTAATTTAAAAAAATGGTTTTGTTTCTCTATGAAATGTTTTCTGCGCACACATGAAATTTTCACTACCCATCAAGTCCCCTACGCAGTGAGGCAGCCTTAGCTGCCTGGGCTGCTGTGGGTAGCTAGAAGACCATAGGATTGCGTTTCTCACAGGTGTGGGGGCAGGCAGTCTGCTAGAGGGCGCCTCCTGGCTGTGTGTCCCCTGTTTCATAAAGGGACCTAGTCACCCCCAGGCCTTCGCCTCCCCACACCATCACAACGACGATTAGATTCCTACAGAATTGGGAGGGCTCCCAGGCCTTGGCTTTGACCGAAGAAAACCCTTCCTTGACTGACGCAGTGACGAGAGAATGGACCTGCGCTTCCTGATGTCTGTGCCACCATGATCCTTTGTTGAGCGTTTGTCTCTGGGCTCAGAATTAGATTTCAAGTGGATCCCTTCTGGTATCTCTGGGGGCTGTTGGGTATGTCTTAGGCTTGCCCAGGGCAGCGCCTGCCTACTCTGTGTGGCTCAGTTAAATAGCTCGTCCAGTACAGCGGGGAATACCACAGCAGTGCTGGGATCTGGCCCCGGTGGGTCTGCAACAGAGGCCTGTAGTCTCAGCCTGGCCCCTTCCCGCCATTGAGGATGAGACCGGCTAACTGTGGTCCTGCCACACGGGTCCCTGCCAGAGCGGCTGTTTTGACCGGCCCCTCTGCACTCGGAGCCACTCCGTGGATAATGACACAGATTGCAAAAAGCTCCTACCAAGGCTTATCTTCAGATTTCGTTAGAGTGCCTTCTTTTTTTTTTTTTTTTTGACAGGCAGAGTGGACAGTGAGAGAGAGAGACAGAGAGAAAGGTCTTCCTCCAATGGCCACCGCGGCCGGCGCGCTGCGGCCGGCGCACCGCGCTGATCCGATGGCAGGAGCCAGGTACTTATCCTGGTCTCCCATGGGGTGCAGGGCCCAAGCACTTGGGCCATCCTCCACTGCACTCCCTGGCCACAGCAGAGAGCTGGCCTGGAAGAGGGGCAACCGGGACAGAATCCGGCACCCCGACCGGGACTAGAACCCGGAGTGCCGGCACCGCAAGGCGGAGGATTAGCCTAGTGAGCCGCAGCGCCGGCCTGATACATCATTTTTATACAGAATACTGGACTGAGTGCAGAACCTACAAAATTACTGCATTAGAAGGCACTCTAGGCCGGTGCCGTGGCTCAGTAGGCTAATCCTCCGCCTTGTGGTGCCGGCACACCGGGTTCTAGTCCCGGTTGGGGCGCCAGATTCTGTCCCGGTTGCCCCTCTTCCAGGCCAGCTCTCTGCTGTGGCCAGGAAGTGCAGTGGAGGATGGCCCAAGTGCTTGGGCTCTGCACCCCATGGGAGACCAGGAGAAGCACCTGGCTCCTGCCTTCGGATCAGCGCGGTGTGCCGGCCGCAGCACGCTGGCCGTGGCGGCCATTGGAGGGTGAACCAACGGCAAAGGAAGACCTTTCTCTCTGTCTCTCTCTCTCACTGTCCACTCCACCTGTCAAAAAAATAATAAATAAATAAAATAAATTTTAAAAAAAAATGACGTATCAATTGTGAATCAAGGTAACCTGCCTAGAAGAAGCAAGAGTTGGAGTTCTATAGATACCTTTCAGACTGCCCAGGTTAGCCACGGTCACTTGGTTTTTCTCTAAAAATTATTCCTAAATAAATACGAGAATAGTCCATGTTTGTTGAAAAGGTTTCCATGTAGCTGCCTTGCCACGTCTCCCCGCCCTCCTCGCTGCGGCGTGGATGGTGTCTGACCGAGTTGTCCTTGCTCCTGTCCCACACGATGGCATTATGTGAACAGGTAACCTGCCAACGTGAACTGGCAGGAGGGCTTCTCATCCTCCCAGCTGATTCACCCTGCGGCTTTTTTGTGTTGCTGTTTTATTTATTTTGTTACTGTTTAGTAGACAATATCATAGAAGTGGTAACAGTGATGTTTGATGTAGCACTACCGAAAACGCAACAGAAAGGTTGCTATTGGTCACTGCACCTGTATCCTGACTGTGAATACTGAATTTCACTTCGCGTGCTCTGAATGGCTGTAGTTCCAGATGGAGATCCTGGCATTTCCTATCTTCCCTTCTTATTATTTTCCTCTCTCTCTCTCTCTCTTGTTTTGGATCTGATAGGATTGACAGGGCAGCTACTGGTCTCTCTTTAGTAGGGATGGCCCGAGGTTTAAAATCCAAACTATTGAACTACTATAAGATATAAAACTTAGGTATGAGGGAAAGAAAGCTCAGGAAAGAATGTGGAGTAGTATATGAAAAAGCTAAATGGAAAAAAATTGGCTGAATTTTTTTTTTTTTGCAAATTCTGTTGAATTCCAAGAGTATTCAGTTGGCAAAATTTAAGTGTTGACTGTATCCACCAAAATGCCTGCAAGTGCATCCATTTGGACTTAAAATAAAACTAAGGCTCAAAATGATTGATAGCTGAATATACAATTCTTAGGACATTGGTCTAAAAATTTCCAGGTCATACCATTTCAGACAAACTTTAATACAGGATGATTTTTGACGTCATGATATAAGAATACAAATTACTTTGTTTAAATGATACTTTGTGCCAACTAAATGATGTCAGCTGGCAACTTAGATCCCCAGTGTGTAGATAAAACCTTCATATCTCTGGCCATGGGTGCTTGGGCCCTTGTGACCAGGCACACAGAGGAAAGCCCACGGCAGCCACAGCCGTAAGCAGGTCGAAGTGCTCAGCTCTGTTTGCAGCGCAGTGTTGTCTCAGGCTTCTTCCTCGGAAGACCCTGAGCAGGAAGCTGGGGTTCGAGGGGAACGCGGGGAGAGAGGACTCCTGCCTTGGTCTGTGCCTCTCGGGATGGCCACGGCCACACCGGACTTGTTCCTAGGCGTGCCGTCCACCTGTCCGTGGAGAGCGGACTAATCCACAGTGATCCTAGAGGCCGGGCTGCCTCCCCAGGGGAAAGGTAATACTTCTCAAATTGTACGAGAACCAGGGGCCTTTAAACATGTAAGTGAATGGGTAGAAACAAAGTGGATAAGCTAGCCTGAATTTCTAGAATGTGTGAGCTTATTCCGTCACGTTCCTCAGGGCCTTCACACTTTATTCTCTCCACTGTCTCTGCTCGCCTTGGACTACAGCACTGCATTCCATTCTGCAGGTCCATTCCGGGAGTCCACTGTTCAGGCAGGCTCCACGTGTATGGCTTTAAGGATGCCTTCTGCCTTCTTCACTTGTGGCTGTAGACTGCTTACTGTTTGGAATCATTGTTAGGAGTCTGAGGGACTGTGAAATATTTTTTCCAGTATTTAATAGTTCCAGCCATATATAAGTGGAAAATGTATCTCATGAAGACACTATGCATGGCTTTCACAATTTTCTTGCTCCACATATCTTAATTCCATTTTTCTATGAATTTTCTGAAGCACCCTTACACTTTTGTTACTAAAATATACTTTTCTTACCCCAGTTTGAATGAAGGAGGTATCTTTAAATTATTATTTCTAAAGCGGCACTCCCCAAGCAGGTATTCCAGTTGTATTAAATCTCTGGGTGGGGGGTGGGGTGGGGGTGGGGGGAATGGGTTCCATGGCAAATACATCAGCGCTTTCCCTTGGAGTTTCACCAGGCACTTAATGGGGTGGAGGTCTGGGAAACTCAAGCTGCCGCGTGGCGTCTCCCTCCATGGAGACGTAAAGGAGCGAGCGCCACTAGCACTCTGCAGGGACACTGTCCCACCTGGCCCCCTCTCCTAGACGTGAAAGCTTTCCAAGAGGCTGGTGATGACAGTGTTCATGCTATAAAGTTGTCCTGGAATGTGTGTTTTCTTGTGTATGCTTAGCTTGAATTTCTCGCTGCGTTCTAGTCTGCACTCTGTAATATTTATTATAAGGTAAGAATCACTCAAAGTCATGTTTTCATGTAGTTATTTTCACAACGCATAGTACAAAAGCTGCAGTGTTGAAAGACTGTATTTCGGGAGTGAAAGCCATTTAATAGAAAAGTCTTTTTCCTCCCAGAATCATGGAGTGGAGGCAGCTGCAGTCAGCTGGTAGCTCGTGGCTGGGCTCTGGCTGACCAGGCCAGGAGGAGGCTGCACTGTTTTCCATGCACAGTCGAGCCTTCATCTGGTCATCTGGAAGCCAAGACGGAAGCAGCTTGGGGCAGATGAGCCCCCAGTGCTGCTCCGTGGAAGGGAGGCTCTGTAGCACATCATCAGCCAGCAGTGCGCACTGTGTTAGGAATGCACCAGGTGCAGTTTGCTGTCTACGGTGGTGGACAGATCCAGTAAGCGCGGGAGAGAAGCCAGGGACGGAGGTGCTCCGCAGGCAGCTCTCGACGCCGTGCGGAGCAGTCAGTAGCGACGTGGTTTTAGTTTGCCATTTCCAGCGTCAGTATGACAACATGATTCCGTCTTTGTATCAGTAAGCAGCTTCTGTGTTTTCCTATTTTCTGCTAGCTGCAATTTACAAAGGATGTCACAGCACTGGTAAGAAATGCACAGTAGCCATTCCCTTGCTTTGTAAGTCATGTTTTTTTTAGAGATCTGTAATAAGCCAGTCTGTTAACTCTGAGTTTGCTTAGAGAAACCCCTCCATGGTGTTAATTTTACTAATTTGCAGAAACTGTGTGTCGTGTGTGGTTTTTCTTCCTTCTTTTATTTGTGGTTTCCTTGTACATCTTGCACCTAACTGTTACTGTAGCATAACTTGTTTCCACATCAGTGTTTCTTTTGTAAGCATCTCCCCTGCCTCCTTGCTGGTCCTTGGCTGCTGTGTTGTGTGCGTGGCTGCACTTGAGCTTTGCGGGCTGTCTGATGCACACACAGGATGCGGTGAATGAGGCTGCTTTGATGGGGGAGGGCCTTACCGCACCAGCGGTCTCCCATGCACGATGCCACCCTGTGCTGCGTTGATGAGTGCGGTTCCACAGTCTCCATAGTTAACTTCAGCTCTTCTGAAGTTTCTAAAAATACTGCCAGATAATTTTACAAGTAATTGATAAAAACGTAAGTCGAGCTGCATGCCTGCCTGTTACTAACAGTGAAATGTCTCCTTGGAAGAAGTAAGAGATCAATACTTTCTACAAGATAATTTTGCATTAGCTTAAAGTAAAAAAAAATTATATAAAGAATGAACTTTTTGATATTTTAATGCATTTTGATATTTTAATACATTTTAATGTATGTGCTTAATTTCTTAAACATGCACAATTCTATTTTATAGCAAAATATTTAGCATGGCTATCGAAAGGCTTAATGTATCAGTGGATTATTTCAGGGGATCTGTAATAGTTAACTGACAAGGGAGTTTAAACAACTGTATGTAGTGCATGATGTTAATAGTGCTTACGGTGTGTCTGAGTGAGACTTTAGTATTTGTGCCTTCTCTCTGGCCAAAGGTAAGAATCCTTCTCTGCTGGGACTTTGTAGGCAGCCATCTGCCCTATCAACTGCTGGACAGCGGGGAAGCGTGGCTGGGGAGGATTTTAGAAGCTCTGTGGCTGTCCCTCGCTGGTGGGGAAGACATTTGATGTGTTTCACATCTTCTTAGAAAACAAGGGATTATATTTGTTGAAGAGACTAGCTCTTTTTCATATTTGCAGAGTGCCCTTTGTTGTGTGTGTGTGTGTGTGTGTGTGTGCGCGCGTGTGCACGTGTGCTATAGAGACTGCCAATTAGAAACAGGGTCAGCCAGCCATAGTACAGTGAGACAGGGCACTGCAACAGTGCAAACTTGTTCTCTCCGTGAACTTCCAGTGACACTTTTCCTCTGGCTTCCATGCAGGCGTATTCTCAAGATGCCTACCTGAAGGGGAACGAAGCCTACAGCGGCAACGCTCGCAATATCCCGGAGCCGCCGCCTGTCTGCTACCCCTGGCTGCCCTCTGCCCCTCCCGCCGCCGCGGCTCAGCCAGCGGAAGCTTCCCCTGCAGACGCCCCACTGAGCAAACAGCAGACCAGCACCCCAGGACCCACGCCGCCTGGCAGGGCCTACCGCATGGAAATCCAAGTGCCTCCGTCACCCACAGATGTTGCAAAATCGAACACGGCAGTGTGTGTTTGCAACGAAAGCGTGAGGAGTGTTATTGTGCCTTCTGAGAAGGCTGTAGATGTGTTACCCGGCAGAGGGAGCCACACAGGCCCTTCCCATCGAACTGAAGAAGTGAGGTACGGCGCGAACGAGCACACCTCTTTAAAAGCAGTGTCCAGGGCCACGTCTCCGCCATCATCAGTCCCCGCCGCCCATAGAATCCACCACGCTGCAGGCTCCAGGTCCCTGGACCCTTCCGGAGGCCTACTTAAATCTGGAAACTACGCTGGGCACTCAGAAGGAATCCCAAGTGACAGGGCTCACGCGGTAGACTCCCCTTCCATAGCTGTCAATCACTACTCCCCAAATTCCCATCAGCGCATAGACTGGAAAAACTACAAGACGTACAAAGAGTATATTGATAACCGGAGGTTGCACATAGGCTGTCGGACCATCCAGGAGAGACTGGACAGTCTACGAGCGGCCTCCCGGAGCACGGCGGATTACAGCCAGGTGGCCCCCGGCCGCGCCGCCTCGCAGGTGCGGCGCCGGAGCACCTCTCACGACCGCGTGCCGCCGGCGGCGCAGATCCGGCAGCGCAGCGTGTCCCAGGAGAGGCTGGAGGACCCGGTGCTGACGCGGTACTGCCCGCGGAGCGCGTCGCAGGGCGCGCTGACGTCCCCGCCGGTCGGCCTGAGTCAGCACCGGACTCGGTCCTGGGATTACCTGGAGGGGCAGGGGGAGCCCGCGGAACGCCAGACCCCCGACTCCAACGGGGAGCGGGCGCAGGCCTCCCGGTGGGGCGGGTTTGCGGAGCGGGACGACCGGCGAGGGGTGCGGGAAGCGCCCAAGGCCTTCCGGGGCGCGCATCTCTCCGTGGCCCCGGGCGCGGTGAGCGTGGAGAGCAGGCGCGTGACCGGGCGGGGCGCGCCGGGCGCGCCGCAGTTTAAAAAGCCGCCCTTGGACCTGAAGGCGCTGCAGCCAAGCAGAACTGTGCCGACGGCTTGTGGGGCGCCGCTGGCTCGGGGTGTCGCACAGGACAGGTCGCCCCTCGTCAAAGTCCGGAGCCACTCCCTAAAAGCGCCCTCTGCGCACGCCGCCGCGAAGCCAGCGGTCAGCCAGAACTCGCTGGTCTGCACCAAGGATCAGAGACCCGTCATTCACGCACATGAGAACAGTGTGCTGAGTCAGCAGACCTGGTTCCGACCCGAGAGTGCCCCCGACCACCAGGCGGACCCCGCGAAGCCCCCCTCCGTCTCCGGAGCGCCTGCGAAGCCGGCTGCCCAGACGAGCGAGAACGGGGCCGCTGCGGAGTGCGAGCTGTCGGTCAGTCTACGGGACGTGGACATCCGCGCCGCAGAGGCTGGCGCCCCGCAGCCACACCCCGCAGATGGCACGGAAGCGGTGGTCCTGCGGGAGAAGCCGCCGTCCGGCCGCCAGACGCCGCAGCCCCTGCGGCACCAGTCTTACATCCTGGCGGTCAATGACCAGGAGGCCGGCTCGGACAGCACCTGCTGGCTGCCCAACGACGCGCGCCGGGAGGTGCACATCAAGCGGCTGGAGGAGCGGAAGGCGTCCAGCGCCAGCCCGCCCGGCGACTCCCTGGCGTCCATCCCCTTCATAGGTGAGTCCGGGGCTACTGGCCAGCACGTCCGCCACGCGAGCACTCCGCTTGCCAGGTCAACGGGCGCTGAACCCCTACCCCGCGAGGTTCACTTATTTGTAAGGACTTTCATAAGCTGTACTTTAACTAGAGCCATGAGCTTTTTACTGCGCTAGGAAGTTCCTTCTAGAATCAATTTTCCTTCAGAAAAACAGCAACAACTTGATGTATCTGGTCCTTTTTTTATTTTAATGTTTTAAAGATTTATTTATTTATTTGAAAGTTACACAGAGAGAGGAGAGGCAGAGAGAGAGAGAGAGTCTTCCATTCACTGGTTCACTCCCCAGTTGGCTGCAATGGCCGGAGCTGCACTGATCTGAAGCCAGGAGCCAGGAGCGTCTTCCGGGACTTCCACGTGGGTCCGGGAGTCCCAAGCACCTGGGCCATCTTCTACTGCTTTCCCAGGCCACAGCAGAGAGCTGGATTGAAAGAGGAGGAGCCGGGTCTTGAACCGGCGTCCATATAGGATGCTGGCGCTTCAAGCCAGGGCATTAACCTGCTGCACCACAGTGCCGGCCCCTAATTTTAATTTTGATGCAACAAATCCCCACCATCTGGGGCCACTAGAATCAGCGATCCTTTTAGATGTAGCTGTTGATTCATTGTTTCGAAGAGCCCAGTGCAACAGGGTTTTTAATTAATTAATCATCAGCCTTTCTTTCACTGAAGTGGTCCCTTGTACTAAGACCTCTTGGCCTGGATTTGGAAAGCGCCTTCGTTCCTGGGTTGTGCCACAAGCTGTGGTCCCCAGCGTCTTGGGCTGCAGCTCCCCTTGGGTGAGCTCTCCTGTGGCAGCCGGTGGGTTCTGATTGGAACGCCCTGTCTCCTTCCCATCCCACCCAGCGTCCAGTCCACAGTCCTCCCTGTCTCACAGCAGGTTCCACCCTCTAGGCCTCTGCCTGGAGTCTTCCTGGGGCCTCCCCCCGTGCAGGCAGCCGAGCCTTCTGCTCCTCCCCACCTGGCCAGGTTGCACAGATGCTCAAGCGCCCCTCCCTCACTACAGCTGGGGCGCTTCATCCAGGCAGCCTCTCCTGACTGCCCCGCCCACAGTAAGCTCCAGACACGGATGCAGAGGTGCCATTTGTGTCCCTGAAGCTCCCTTGCGTGTCTCCCCAACACTTGCTTCCACTTGACATATTCCATAGTTTTTTTAAAAGATTTTATTTTTATTCTTAAAGATTTATTTATTTATTTGCAAGTCAGAGTTACACAGAGACGGAGAGGCAGAGAGAGAGAGAGAGAGAGAGAGAGAGAGAGAGAGGTAGGTCTTTCAATCACTGGTTCACTCCCCAGTTGGCCTCAACAGCAGGAGCTGTGCCGATCCGAAGCCAGGAGCTTCTTCCGAGTCTCCTACGTGGGTACAGGGGCCCAAGGACTTGGGCCATCTTCTACTGCTTTCATAGGCCATAGCAGAGAGCTGGATCAGAGGAGGAGCAGCCGGGACTAGAAATGGCGCCCATGTGGGATGCCGGCACTGCAGGAAGTGGCTTTACCTGCTACACCACAGCCCTGGCCCCAGAATTTTACTTATTTATTTGAGAAGTAGAGTTACAAAGAGAGGGAGGGAGAGACGGGGAGAAAGGTCTACCATCTGTTGGTTCACTCCCTAAATGGTCACAATGGCCAGAGCTGGGCCCCTCTGAAGCCAGGAGCCAGGAACTTCTTCCAGGTCTCCCATGCACTTGGGCCATCTTCTGCTGCTTTCCCTGGCTATCAGCAGGGAGCTGGATCGGAAGTGGAGCAGCCGGGACTCGAACTGGTGCCTGTATGGGATGTCGTCATCGCAGACGGAGGTTTAGCCTACTATGCCATAGCACCAGCACCATTGTGGGTTTTTTTTTTTTTTTTTTAATCACAAGTTTCTCTGTAGAACTAGGCTGAGATTTTAAATCTATTTTACTTGTATGTTCCTGATGGCTAGCAAACTGGACTCTATAAATCTTTGTGGAAATAATGGCTCGATGACCAACTTTGAGATGATGCTTAAATGGACAGCAAAATGGTGTTCTAGTCATAGTTACTATACAGCTTGAAGACATTCTCAGCTAACAGGGTTATGATCTGTGTCCTTAGTATTATTGTCAGGTTGTCAGAAAGTCAAGGTGTGGAGGTGTTCAGTGCCTCTTCTGAGGTCACCCAGCTAACAAGTGGTAGAGACAGGGACTCTGCACTGCCTGTTTCAGCCTCATCCCGGAGGGCAGCAAAGCAGAGAACACCCCCTGGAGTTGCCCGGGGTCTAGCCCTGCACCCCAAGAGGTTATGGAAGCAGCTCCCCGTATTTTACAGTGTGATACGCATCTCTCTGAGTAATGTTTCGGAGTGTTTCTTTTCTAGGGAAGCCTTTGTTAGGCTCTTGGACTGTCAGAGACTGAGTCAACTTTACAACAGGTGCACATAACTTGTAATTTTATCAATATGTATCTGAGTTACAAGCACTGTGGAGATTCTCAACCTTTTACTCATATTCATATTTGGTACCTTTAAAAAGGCCACACCCAGCAAACAGTAGAATCTTACAGATGGAACCTTATGCATCAAGTAGAGTAGATATTTTTAAAGAAAGCAACTGAACACTAATGATTATTGTGCAATATTTTTAAAACATAAAAGGCCGTACGACTCATGGCTGTCTTTGCCAGGCCTGTGGGATCCTACTTGTATTTCCTTCCTACATGGCAGGAACAATGTAATCTAGTACAATGGAGCAGTAAAAACCGTGCCGTTCACAGGGCGAATGTTTCCTGCAGTTCCTGTGAGGTACAGGAATACAACGAGAGCAGTTATGGTATTAAAGAGAGAAGGCTGGTGGAATCGCAGCATAAAGATCTGTGTAGTTCTCTGTGTGCAGATCAACGCAGATATACCATTTTACTAATGCATTGAGAGGAGAAGTGCTCACCAAGGAGCTCTGAATTTTTTCTGCTTGGAGTACATATTAAAGTCCCCTTCAGAATCCCTGGTGAATGGCATCTCCTGTTTTATGAAGTGCTTGATCTTTCATAGTTGCCCAGCATAAGGATGCCTCGACAGTCCCTTTATTTCACATATGCCTCAGGGAAGCTTAGCATGTAGCAGGTGTCACTGTGGGGTCAGTCATGTAGGGAACACCTTGAACTGTTGTTCATGGAGAAATGGAATTAAAAGATGATATGTGTTTTCCATGAACTTTTCCAAGAACCCAGTGGAGTAGAAGAAATAAAGAAGCAAGACACCAACGTAGAGTTTGTGTCCCTGTCTTTCTGTGTGTGAACATCTCCCATGGATGTGTGTAGTTTGTGTCCCTGTCTTTCTGTGTGTGAACATCTCCCATGGATGTGTGTAGTTTGTGTCCCTGTCTTTCTGTGTGTGAACATCTCCCATGGATGTGTGTAGTTTGTGTCCCTGTCTTTCTGTGTGTGAACATCTCCCATGGATGTGTGCATCATAGCACTCTGCTCCCAGAGATGGTGCAATGCCAACTTCTTGAGGCTTTGCAGAACTTTTCTGTTCTTAATGCTGTTTGAAGTAAAGGCATTGAGAAGAATGTTAGTATATGTCTCATTTTTACAGCCTGATATCAAATGTACCCATTTTTAGGCTTAACTACAAGTATACTTTTTTATCTGAAACACATTTAACTTTTTAATGAACTAAAAATCCTTTGTGGCCTGGAAGTCTAAAAATTGTGTATTAGTGTGCTCTGAAGGCAGGGCTGTTCAATAAATAAACACCTACAAATGCCCATTGATAGAAGAGTTGCCAGTGCCTTGCTGAGTGGAAGTGATAAAACGATAACGCTGCATCCTTTGTTATTAGCGTCTGTGGCTTTATGTGGCCCATAGGTGTTTCTCTAGCTGTAGCACGTACATGTTTTAGACACAGTAGGCCAGGTACCAGCAGGTGACGTAAAGCCCAGAGGCTCTGTGGGGAGTTCCAAGAACACTAATTCCATTCGTCTTAAATGTTGGTAAGAAGCGCAGTGGTCAAACACTGAGAAGTGCTGGGTCTGAAGACACGTTTTTATCCACCTGTCTACGTTGTTTCTTCAGAATTGCTGGTGTGCTCCTGCATACTGTGAATTGTCCAGGAAGAATAGAAAATGATTCTCTCAGAAATCTTGGACCATGAGACCTTTTATTTAGAATTTCTCATGGGTGTATATACTCTAGAACACACTTGTGAGAGTGTTGGTGTATCCTCCGTGTTATTTTTTGTGACATTTATATAAAAAGGTAAAGGGGGAAAAAATTAAGGCATGCTTTCATACTGTCACTAACAAAATCTCTTAGATTTATTTTTATTTATTTGAAAGAGAGAGTTTCAGAGAGAGGTAGAGACAGAGAGGTCTTCCATCCACTGGTTCACTCCAACAGAGCTGCGTCAATCCAAAGCCAGGAGCCAGGAGCTTCTTTCCGGTCTCCCATGCAGGTGCAGGGAACCAAGGACTTGGGCCAGCTTCTTCTGCTTTCCCAGGCCATAGCAGAGAGCTGGATTGGAAGAAGAGCAGCCAGCACTAGAACTGGCGCCCATATGGGATGCCGGCACTTCAGGCCAGGGCGTTACCCTGCTGCGCCACAGCGCTGGCCCCACTAACAAAATCTTACATTCAGATTTTAATAATTATTTTTGTTATTTGAAAACTATAGCAGTGCGGAAGAGTAAGCGAGTGCCTTGGCTTTATCCTGAAGACATCAGAGAATGAAGCTGAGTCGCTGTTAACTGTAACACAGTTCTTTCTTACAGAAAGAAGAATCCTCCTACCTGTTGCTGCACATCTAATGTTTCTTTTGTACCACCAGGATTTAGAAAAATGAAGGCAAATGGGAATGTTAGGCACTAACAGTACTATGTAACTCCCTCCCATCCACCCCCACACACTTAATAATGCTACGTGATAAGTCATGAAGATAAATCTCAGCTTCTTTCATTAGTAACTGCAGAGCACCGTGATGAATTGTTCATGAGTTAATTGGACAGTAGCG